CTGAGGTAAGTTTCTCAAGAGTCAGGTACCAATTAAAAAGGGGTGGTTGATGCGAAAATATGGGCAAGGGTATTGCTGAATGCCCGAAGGACCATTTTTAAAAAAACTTTTGTTTGAGGATTAAACTTTCTAAGTTATTTTTGCAATTCCTCATTTCACTCTCGGTTTCTTCGCCATCCTCTACTGTCGCTCTGTGACTTCACACTCCAGTCTTGGAGAACAGGCGGTGAACTCTCTATAAATCTCTGTACCAGAAGGACTTTCCTACTGGCAAGAATACCACAGGCTGAAGAAGTCCATGGCCATACTGGGTGTGGTGATAGTGAAAGCAACAAGGTTGTAGAGAGTCCTAGATCAAAGGTTGAAACTGAGCCATGAATAAGCCTGAAATGTGTAGCACTGGAACTGAGCTCAGGCCACTCAGAGTGGGGAAAACTCAGTGAACGCACACATGGAAAATGAAGCAGAAGACTCATTTGGAATTAGGCAGTCAGCCCAGAGAGTTTACATGGAAGAAAGAGGTCAAGGCAGGGCAGTGAATTAAACTTAGCAGACAGGAAGACCTCAGAGCAGGAGAGATGATGATTCAATGTCCATATAGCAGCTGGGAATAAGGACATCTACAGAACTGACAGGTAGGGTAAAGCATTGTCACTGGGTCTAGTTACAGTGACAGTGACCCCGGCTAAGAAATGCCTTGCAAGATCTCAGCATAAGGAAATATTTACTGCAAACCATGGGTTCTCTGCCTTGCAGATAGAAATAACCAGAAGTATAGTTGTAGTGCTAGACATGTCCCCCAAGGCCAAGTATGAAGAAAGCCTGATCCAATGGCTTCTGCTTGCTGGCTGGGTTGACTGTACATACATTTCTCTACATTTTTTCCATCCCAAACCTTTCTGAAGTTGTACCTACCCCCGAGTGGACGTCACAAATACATATGATATGCTGGTTGCATAGTGCTATGACTGAAAGTTTGAACCTTGGCTGTTAGAGATTTTTACTGTCATTATACCCTTCCTCCCATTTTTTGGCTTGATAGCATCTCAAGATTTTTTTGTTTTTTGTTTTCTATCCACATTTCCATTTTTGTATGTGTCCCCCAGGGCATTTTAACACATTTAATTTCAGGATATGCAATTCTCACTAAGAGATACAGAAGAAAGAAAGCAGCAGAGGAATAAAGGAATTGATCTTAATTCTCATCTTCTAAGTTTTCAGTGCCCCATCTCAGAATTTCATTCCTTCTTGTTCTTTTGCTTTTATAGAAAGTACTTGGTGTAAAGCTGCATGTGTGCAAGTTTAGGAGACAGTTCATCAGCAAATCAAATGAATCCAAGAAGAAGAACATCTATGTGTACACACTATAATTGGTGTTAATTGTCAACCTGACAGAATCTAGCATCACCTGGGAGGGGGTTCTTGGGGCATGCATTTGGGGAGCATCTTGACAGCCTTAACTGTGGTGAGGAGACTCACTTGATGTGGGTATGGCCATTCCATGGTTGGGAAACTGGACCGTGTCCGTGGAAAAATGGAAGCCAACAGGAGCATGCGTTCATCTCTCTCCACTTCCTGACTATAGATGCAATGTGCCCAGCTAGCTCCTGCTGCCCTGCCTTCCTCACCATAATGAACTATACCCTGAAACTGTAAGAAAAAAACAAACCCTTCCTTCCTTAAGTTGTTTGCATCAGGGTCTTTTATCACAGCAGCATGAAAAGTTAATATGCACATATATACACATATATGTTCATATTCAGAGGACAAAAACCCTAAGAAGACTGGCATTCCTCCAGGCTACTGTTTGCTAGCTTGGTGACTACTCCATGACATGCTGTGGCTCAGTTTCCTTTGCTGTAAATAGAGAAGTTGTTATGCTTTGTAAGTGAATTATATACCCCACAGGCTCATGGTTGAAGACTTGGTTCCCAAGAAGTCAGTCATCGTGGATTGGGTCTTGAAGGTAATATCTACTTTGTCCTCTAGCCTAAGCTTTCTGCTTCCCTCCAGCTGCCACAGGCCCCACCACCATTAACTCCACTTTTCTTCCCCCATCGTTATGGACTAAAACTGTGAGCTAAAATAAATCTTAACCAATGAAGACAGTAGTACTGACTTGTGCATCAAGGCTTGCCTTGTACAGATTTAATGATATCCTGGATTTTTGAGAAAGAAGTTTAGAAGCTCAAAAGTTCAATAAAAATGTTAGGGGTTTTTTTGTTTGTTTGTTTCTGTTTTTGTTTTTTATTCTGTCTACTTTCTCAATTCCATCAAAGCAGAAGGGCAGGATCAAAAGTCAAAGCAAACCAGTTCTGGCAGCAAGGGACATGCCATTTTAGAAAGACAAAACATGTCCTCTATAACATTAAACTCTTACCCAATTCCTCATTAGCTTTGTGAACAAGTAGAAAGGGGACAGAAGCATTGTGGCAGTTATCCAGTTTATTAAATTAATTATCCAGATATTTGGACAAATGCAATTACAAACCCTTCCTTTTTTGTTCCTATCTGGACTCTCCACTCTCTTCTGGCACATAAACATTTCTAAGGGTACAATCCTTGTGTGAACAGCTGCCTTGTGGAGAACAACAGTTCTAAGAGGTTTCTTCAATTTGCTCTTTGTGATGCTGACTTTGTTACTGGCTCCTGTGACAGCCAGCTTCAACTGTTAAGGGTTGTGACCCAAATGGAACCCCCAAATGATGTTGGAATCTAAGGCCAGAATGATCCCAGCTAACTCATAAATAATGAGCCCAAGGAGCCAGGTCACACTTTATCACCAAGAGAGTAACACCTTTTAATTGGTTAACACAACAAATAGAGAGATGGCCGCTTTCTGAATCAGGCTTCTGATTTGCTCACCTATTAGGTGGGTTTGAGAAAACAAAACTCTTTCTTCACTTAATTTAGAAGCTGTGATTTTGATTGGGAAGTGGAGGGTCACATACAAAGATGCCAGAGAAAGCAAGTGAAACAGAAGGAGGCTTCAGGCTGATGAAAACTGAATTTATTAGGAAGTTCCCTTAAAAGTGTGTGTGTGTGTGTGTGTGTGTGTGTGTGTGTGTGTGTGTGTGTGTGTGTGTGTGTGTGTGTGTGTGTGTGTGTGTGTGTGTGTGTGTGTGTGTGTGTGTGTGTGTGTGTGTGTGTGTGTGTGTGTGTGTGTGTGTGTGTGTGTGTGTGTGTGTAACTGAATGAAAATAACTTCATCAGTTTAACATTAAGAGGAAAACTTCAATCTTATGAAAATCAAAGGAAGACTAGAAATCCCACTTCTTAGGATGCATGTGAAAGATATGGGTTTGTAGACTTTAATTCTGAAGAATGCAAATGTGCACTTCATGGAGTCCTTCCTCAAACTTGTTTCCTTGGTCCAGTTACCTTACTGCGTCAACAAGGCTGAACAAATAAATGGGGTAGCTGAAAATATTGCTTTCACTTCTAAAGGAAACCCCTGAAATTACAGGCATTAGAACAGTATTACATTTCAAAGTACAGCATGATCAAGGAGGTGACTGTGAACTTCTGGGCTCTGGTTACAATTTAAGAGTCTCTTTTGCAATTTGGACCCAGTTCCATACTGTAGCTGCTGTCCATGGTGGCAAGAAACAAAACTGACACATTATTATCAACTCCAGTCCATTCTTCATTCTGATTTCTTAGGTTCCTCCCAAGGTTCCTTCCAATTTCACAGTTCCATCCAGGCCTCTACATTTTGTTTAGTTGGTTCCTCTGGATTGTCACACTGTCTCAGACTTTGGAGATTTGTGATGATCTTAACAGATTTGAAGAGTACTGCTTGGGTTTTTGTAAAAGCTTCTACAGTTTGTGTTTGTCTGACAGTTTTCTCATAGTTAGACTGGGGTTACGAGGTTTGCAGAGGATGGCTATCAAGTGAAGCACTGCTCATACCAAGGGTACGTGCTGTTAATGGTGGTGTTAACCTTGACCATGCCAGGCAAGAGAGTGCTTGCTAGCTCTCTCCACTGTACTTATCCGTTTTCTTACCCTCCTGCTGTACGCTTTGGAAGTCACTGTGTATATCCCACACATGAGGTACGGGGGTGTATCTCCATACATCTTCTGAAGTATTTCATATTTTGTTTCTTCTTATCTACTTACATGTTTGATCATTAACTATGTCACTATGTCCTTGTGTTCCTCAAATTCTTGCAGCTTTGTCCATCGAGTGCTCTGTTAGCTGGCTCTTATTTTTATTTTTTATATGTATGAATGTTTGGCCTGCATATAGAGGGGTACCCATGAGTGCAATGCCCACAGAGGCCAGAAGAGGGTGTCAGAGCCCCTGGAACTGGGGTTACAGATGGTTGTTAGCCTCCATGTGGGTGCTGAGAACTGATCTGGGTCCTCTTAAGTGCTGAGCTATCTTTCTGTCCCTCTCATTGATTTTTGAGCACTTTCTTCCTCCTCAGAACTATAGAACCTTCCAGACCAGGGTCAGGTTTACCTGCTGTAGTTTTCATAGTAATCTCTCTCTCTCTCTCTCTCTCTCTCTCTCCTTTTGATCCCCAGCTGGGCTGAAACTCACTATGGAGACCAGGCTGGCCTCAATCGCAACAGAGATCCACCTGTCTCTGCCTCCTAAGTGCTAGGATTAAAGATGTGCTCCAGCACACCCAGCCTCTATTTTTTTTTTAATGCCCATTTTTCTTTTACCACTTTCTCCCTATCCCTCCATATCATATTAGGAACTCAGTTATTTCCCCCTGGTTCTTTAGTAATCTCTTGAGTGCTTTCAAAGTCTGCCTCACAGATGCCTGTAGAGTGGACACACTTCGTCACACTGAGTCAGTTCTTTCACATCTCTCACTTTTTCACTGCTACTGCAATCTACATGTTTTACTCCCTGAACCAATGAATGTCAATAATAAATCACAAAGAAAAGTATATCATGGGTGTGAAGAGAAGGGAGCTCAAACTATCTCTGGAGTGACATATTATTTTTAATTAATGCTGCTCCCATTTTCTCACTTTTCCAGACACATTAATGCAACAAGAATCATGTCGGCATCTGTGGAAGCAAATGGAGAGAACAGCAGTTAAAGGGAGGGGGTGCATGCCCCCACCCCCAGTCTGGTACACTCGGGAGCAGTTCACAATGCACATGCGGATCATCAAATCATGGAAACCGAGAGTTGGAGCCCTTACTGCTGCAGGGACATATTTCCGTGACTGGCAGTGATTCTTATTTTCCATCACTCTGGGAGACTTTGAAGAAGACTCTTTGCTGATTGATTCCCTGCAATCCCACACTAGGCCAGAATACAGGGAGCACAGGATGAACCAAATAGTGCTCCATACCCAAGCTCTGCTTCTCTTCCAGAGAGACAGGCTACAAAGGACAAATCCCCTCTGTTTGTACTTCAACTCAGCCCTTCCTTCTTCACCTGCATCTCTTTGGAATATTGTCTCTCTTCTGCCCTTAAGAAAACAAGACATTTGCTTTCAGTTTGACTCAGCCAATAGTTCTTGAAGGCCAAGTACTTGTCAGCATCTATGGTTAGCACTGGAGATACTTCAAGAGACAATTTACAGCTTCAGGACAATCCCAAAACAACAGCAGACTATGCATTATTGGTAATCTGCAGAATGATATGTATTTGCTGTGTTATTTGGATAGACTCTGGCTTGTTTATCTTTTAGAACTGACTCTGGTGGCACATGCCTGTCATCTCAGCAGTTGGGAGGCAAAAGCAGGAGGATTATAAATTCAAGGCCAGTCTGAGTTACACAGTGATTTCAAGGTCATCTTGGGCTACACAGAAGTTCAAGATCAGCCTATGCTATGTAGGAAGATCTTGCTTGTCTCAACAAAACAACAAAATATTTATCTTTTGTTTAGACATGTTATTCATTTATTACCTCTTAATTTCACAAACAATATAGGTGGATCTCTATGAGTTCAGAGCCAACCTGTCTACATAGCGAGTTCCAGGCCAGCTGGGACAACAGGGAGATCCTGTCTCAAAAGGAACAAACAAACAAAGAAAAAAAAACAAAAAAAGAAAAAGAAAACATTGCAAATGTAGACGAAGATTAAATGAGCATACTATCCTCTACTCTCTACCCTAAACCCATCAAGGCCCCTCTCCTTCCCAAATCCTGAGGCAAATGCTGTTTTGAGGGTTTTTTTTTTAGTCTGTCTTCCTAGTTAAAAGTCATATTACAGAATAGATTCTCAATTTTCAGGGCTGCCTAATTCAAAACAGTATAGCCGACAGTCACTGCCTTGCTTTGTCCTTCTTCCCTTCTCATCTGCCTGTCACTGAGCCGGCCAGAGTTGGTGATAAAATTCCAGGCAGTGCTTAGAATGTTGATGAGCCAAGGTGGTTCATGTTAAAATGGAATCATTGGCAATTTAGAGAAAGGCCGAGGCTGGACGGAGCATGTAAAAGTCCTCACTAATTAATCTAGACTAGATCAGGTCAAGGGAATCAGACCCCAGAAATGAGCAAGGATGTAAGCATCACCAAAAGAAGTCGTTGGGAGATGAGTGCAAAACTGAGGACAACATTCAAGCTGAAGTTTGGGCTCGGACAAGGAAGACCCTGGTTCTTAGCCCTGGTGACATTCCTGAAAGAAAGGGCAGGCTGGACAACTGGCAGCTGAGTGCATCATGATCAAAAGACAGCATTTCTTACAAAGCAGTTCTTCTAAGAGCTGCTGCTGTGGGTATTTCTGTTGACCTTTGTGACAGCACAACCCAGAAGCCACTGTTGTAGCCCTGAAAGACTTGAAGCTTTCCTTCCATAGTGCTCTTCAAGGTTTTCTGTATTGGTATCAGAGATTCCTGGAGGACTCAGCAGGTTGGAGAAGGGGAGTGTTTATTTGCCAGAGGGAGCTCGTCCTTTCCTGGAAAACCTGGAGAAGATTTTTATTTTAAGCTTTCATGTTATTTTCTTGTTTGTCCTATGCACGTGCCCTTCTCCCTCATAGACTCAGAGCATTAATCCCTGGGGATGAGATGGGGCTGGTTTGATAGGGAGCTAGGGAGCGAAAGCATAAAGTCTGTTTTGATAGGGAAGTAGAGAAGAACTTCTGACCTTCAAAATCGTGCACTGTGTACACAACAGGGTGGAGAGCCAGGCATTGTGGGAAAGGAGCCCAGTCCTAATTCCTCAGCTCCCTTTTCATGGATCCTGGGAAATGCACAGCCCATAAAGCACTAAGTGCAGGAGGCCTGAGCAAAAGGAAAGACCTTAAAGCAAGTCTCACCTGAGTGTGGGGTAGTTGAAGGCAGAGACAAGGGAAATGGAGGACGAGGAAAGAGAAGAGATGACTAAAAACATGCAATCCTATTCCACCTTCCAGGACATATCAATCTATTGTTAAAAGTTAACAGAGGCATGACAAAACTTCACGATGTTTGGAGGCAAGTGTTTATGGGAATAGAAATGCAGAAAAGACATTATCAGACTGACTACCAAAACAGAATCGTTACAGTTTGTCTATGCTAAAGGTAGAGCAGTTTGTTAGCTGTCTCTGATTAGTTGAGTTTAAGTTATATTTTCTTTAATATTAACATTTATGGGAAAAAGCCAAAGTTAAGTTTTGCTTGTTTTCAAATCAAGCAAAGTTTAAGTCACCTTTGAGGTCTAAATGGTTTTGTATGCTGAGAGATTCTTCCTGCCTGGTGTCCATTTTTTTTCACTTTACTAGTATCTAACTATATGCCCATATACACAGTATAAATAGATGAGAGAGAGAGAGAGAGAGAAAGAGAGAGAGAGAGAGAGAGAGAGAGAGAGAGAGAGAGAGAGAGAGAGAACATAGTTACGATGTGCATGTTATAACACTCTGCAATAGGAGGCATCCATGTGATTAGGCAGTGGAGGCTTTGACTGGTCCTGTGCAAGTCTGACTTGCTCACCTGAGCTGCCGAGAGAGAGAGAGAGAGAGAGAGAGAGAGAGAGAGAGAGAGAGAGAGAGAGAGAGAGAGAACATAGTTACGATGTGCATGTTATAACACTCTGCAATAGGAGGCATCCATGTGATTAGGCAGTGGAGGCTTTGACTGGTCCTGTGCAAGTCTGACTTGCTCACCTGAGCTGCCTTACATTCTTTCTTTGATGGAAGCCATTTAGTTCCCTTATATACACTGCAAGGAAAGTGTGACCACACAGCAGATACTGAGAGGTGGAAAGTTTGGGTATGGGAGGGGCAGAGGGAGGACATATCAAAGACAGTAGACAGCATATCCCCAACCAGGACAGAAAGGCCAGATTACTGGAGATGGACTCTGGGTCCTGAACCAGGCAAGAAAGAGAAGTCCAGAGAGTTGCAACCTCAAGCATCAGCATGAAACACTAGTAATGAATCTGGTGAGAGGCTCGTACCCACTAAGCCATCACATCCACTAAGAGGCAACCCAGGGCTAAGGCTCCCTTCCTTCTATCCAGAAGGTCCCTTAAGCCTGGTCTACCAGGACAACATCTGGAGAGAACAAGGAGATAAGGAAAGGAATTACAAAACCTAGATCTCTGAGAGATTCTAAAAGCTGCAGCAACCATTAAAGGGTGGACTGAATTTTAAATTTGCTTGACAAAGTCATAATTCCACTTTTCCCCAGTTACTCCCAGTGCTGCTTAGAGGAAGGACAGAATGGCACCGGACAATGAAGAAACTGCATTTTTTCTCCAACGCCTCAGTTGCCATATGATGAGGTTGGTCATTTCATCATGCCGGAACTGAAAAATGTCTTATATTGCGCTTAAGAAGAGTCTAGCATGCCCTGGAAGGGTGTTTTATTTCCTTGGGGAGTGGAGGGACAAAAGAGGGACTCTGCCAGTTCTGCCAGCACTAAAGAGAACACGGGATCAGATCTTCAAGTCCCACGAGCTGCTGTCTTATGTGATTTCCTGGGGCTGCTCTAGAGTACATCATTTGTAGAGGCCCGGGATACACTTCATCTTAGTTGACTGGGCTTGCCCTCCCATTCTACAGGCAAGGGGCCAAGGTGAGAGAAGTAAGCCTCACAGTGGGTGTGGATAGGAACCCCCAGCACTGAGAACCACTCCATCCCTGGTTAGTGCAGCATCCTCCACTCCTGAGCACCATGGAACCTCTCTGCACTCAAGCCCAAGGAACATGCTGTGGGTTCTGGAGCAAACACAGCCACCTCTAGTGCTTAGACTTTTCTCTCTCTCACAGAAGCAGCGTCAAAGGACCTTTGCTTGGTCTTCCTTGCATTTTCTATCTATGCCACCTTGCAAATGCACAGGGAATCACACTTCCCTCATACATCTGCCTTCAGGAAGAAGGAGCTGCAGAGGGTCCTGGCTCCTTCTCTGAGAGCACTATACTCCTTGGGTGTTCACCAGGCTCACATTCTGAACAACTCTTTCTGTGTATTGAGTGCTTCAACTCTGCAGGGTGGCTCTGTCAGCAGCCAGGCCCTCAAATCTCTCTTTGGCATTGTAGAAGGAGAAAGAGAGAGCACCTCCTTCCTTTCAACAAGGCTCCTGCAGAGCTACTGCTGGTAATGGAGACGAAAGGAGACTGAGATGGCTCACAGCGGAAGCTGCTGCCGCTCCTGCCTTCCTTTCATGATCTGCCAAGGAGGCAGGATGCTTCTGCCTGAGCTAACTTGATAATCACAGGGCACAAGAGGGGAGAGTCCTGCTCTGAGAAGCTGCCTCCTGCACAGCCTTCCCAGATCCCAGGCTTGGGAAAGAAAGGACTCCAGAGGCTAGGCTTCTTCTCAAGGCAACAGCCAGCTCAAATCATTCTGGAAACAAAAAGAGCACTGCTGGGCTCTGATCACAGGCTCCCAGTTCTGGAGATAGCAGATGGGCTCAAAGCTTCACTGGAGTCTCTAGACAGCATGAAGGATGGAAGACCATCCTGGTTCCACATAATGTTCTTTGCAATAATTACACTTTTAAATCACAGATGAAAGTTGTGTGTGTTCACTTTGTGAATCTCAAAACGTAGTCCCTTTTTACCTATAGCAGCTGAAGTTGAAATAGGCCATCAGGATGGTCCATGTTTGCCACATCACATCATCAAAACTTTGATGGGGGACTGGAGAGGTTTCTCAGTAGTTAAGTGCT